GGATGTCTCTTTATCAAGATACAAGATAAGTATTTTGTATTTTGCATTTATATTTTTAATGCAAGTATATTCGAAAAACGTTAAAGGTGAATGTTTAGAGCACGGCGCTGTAAGGGTGCGAAACATGGACAGTGGGCGCGGCGGAAAAGAAAAGGTTAGAAGCGTTCGAAATGTTATGTTACAGGCGAATGTTGAGGATACCGTGATTAGAGAAGGTTAGAAACGAAGAGGTATTAGAAAGAATAGGAGAACAGAGGACTCTATGGAAGCCAATAAAAAATAGGCGAGATAGGTTACTAGGACACCTTCTCGGGCGTGAAGGTCTAGTCAGAGACATATTAGAGGCAGAACTAGATGAGATTACTGTTCGCAAATAGTTAAGGATATGGGTTGTTCTGGTTTTGGGGAAATGCGAAGATTAGCTCAGGGTAGGAAGAGTGGAGGTGCATGTCCAACCATTCTTAGAACTGACGAACTTATGATGATGATGCAAGTATTTCAAATAAATCACATCTCTAAACATGTCACAAAGATGCATGGTCGAAACAAACGCCAAGACGTTGATTTCGAATTCATTCATACGTTTGGGTACTAATATTTTTCGTTACGTAAAACGTGGGACAATCACATGGAATAAAAAAAACACTTTCATTCTGTCAGTTCCAGTTCTTTGAATACATTACCTACGTTCAAAAATCGCATGTGTGTTCGGTTGTTCAACTAACAATGCGTCGACGACAAGTTTCGTTTAATTATTTGACGTTTGACGTACGGTAATAATAAGCGCGAAATAAAAGTGAAGGTTTGGCTATCAATCTCCATTTGGTCAGGCAATCGTACAAACAAACGCCAAGATCCCACCTTAAACGTGTCCTTTTCTGGTTGATGAACAAAAGAAGTGAAATTTTTTACTCGCATGCATACATGCACACAACTAACAACGCAATTAGAGAGTACCTGCCGGGTTGCACCTTTCTGTGTATTCTCATATCCAAAGGAATTGAATTTTCAATTAATAATCAACCAAGTTCACTCTCAAAACATGCTGCATCTTCATGCGAAAAAAATATGTTATTGTCTCTGTTCCGCCATAAATTCGCTTTCAATATCCAGGAAGCGAAAACTTTCACCATTATTACAATGCAACTGTTTTCAATTACGTTATTATTTGGATAAGTACATACTCAGTAACGTTATTGGTAGATTGCGTTTAGAACAATTACTCAACGACATTTTATAATTTATTAAATGACGTAAACGCAATCTTGCTATAATTTTAAAGTACATTTTTTTTTACAATTAGACCTTAGCTACCCATCTGCCTTAATGTTAAGATAACAACAACGATTTTAACAAAGAAAGTGAATAGCAAGGACGTAAGACATCTTCCATTTAGTTGTTCACGGAATTTATGTGAAATATTTACCGAAAGACTTTATTTGTGAGTAATAAATAATCTTTATCCCATTGTGCTATTAGAAGCAAACAAAAATGCAGGTGAATTGTTATATTAAGGAAGATAAGGATTTAAGACCATCTCCACATTTTAAAAAAGAGGGTGAGAATTTTATTGAGTGGACATGATTTATTACTGTTGACTTAACTATTAGTAGTAAATACAATAACAAACCAATGCTTTAATTTATTCATTGACTACATTTATATGCCATGTATTATTGGGTAAATAAAATGGAAAGTATGATATGCAATATCTAAAAATCCAAAGTTCACCCTGTTTCCCTACAACTAACAACAACTTAAAATGACAAACAACAAGGCCTCATTCAATGTTTTCATATTAGGTACATCTAACTGAGTTAAATTTTTTCGCTATTTTTTGGATTACTTTGTAGAGACAATCAATACATAATTCCTTTTTATTATTTACTAGCGACCCGCCCCAGCTTCGCAAGGGTGCAATGCTTATACTAAATACATTTTTTTTGTTTAGATTATTCTCGAGGAGGGGAAATCTTCAAAAGTCACCCCCTGAATATACTGCATATACTACAGAATGTCTTTATATACAACAATCACAGCTTTTTTGTCATTAGACAATACAAACCGGCCTCAAGGCCGATACCGCCGCAACCGCTATGTCCCTGCATTTTAAATCTGTAATATCTTCGAAAATATTAATTTAAATTACATGGTAAAAGGCCATATTGATCTATATTAAATGCACAATGTATTTGAAGTACTTAATTGGATAAGAATTAATGCTGTATTGCTTAAAATCGCATGGTAAATAAGCCACTATAAAAAGTAAAGGATAAGAAATAGTGTTTGTGGGTTAAACCTAAGAGATAGACATATACCATCCCGGACTTTTTTGTAGACCTTCTTAAGGTGTACAATACTGTAGTATATTATTTTGATCTATCTCGTAGGGTTCATCCAGCGTTTGCAATGTAAGCGCAAAAAATGTGTTTATTTACATCACATTAGAAACCTCCAAAATTATCAGTGTTTTCCTACTATATTATGAATGTATTATATATACAATCCTTCCTCTTGAATCACTCTATCTACTAACGAAAATCGTATCAAAATCCGTTGTGTAGTTTTAAAGATTTAAGCATACATAGGGACAGACAGCGGGAAAGCGACTTTGTTTTATACTATGTAGTGATTATATATTATTATTTTATATCACTCTTTCCTTCGAATTAAAAACGATTAATCAATTTTAGTTATAAATATAACTATTATTACCTATCAGAATTCCATATCCGAAGGGTGTAATGGAATTATATAGTACTTAGGCTATGCATCGATTTGAAATTCACAAAAATTATAAGTCGTGTATTTAAAGTTATGAAAAAGTTTATTTACAAGAGACGCAATGCGTTCAAACAAGGGCAAAAAATTGTTTTAAAGTTATATTTGCAGTTATTTTCGGTAACACTCAGGATTTTGAATTTGTACCACGTTAAAGAAGATGTCTGTTTGCGACTTTTCGTATTTGATCACACGAGAGATCTTCAGGATCTGGACTAATGAGCTCATACAGAAGAATTCTGTAATGGAGAGTGAGAAATTTGTTCTTAGTTGACAACAATTAAGAGAAGAAGAAGATAGTAAAGTCATTCTGTAAACGAAACAAGCATTAGAAATGAATCGTTAGTTTAATAGTTAATGCCGAAAAATTGAACCCTGACTTCATAATTCTCTTTCGCAATTGTTCTGTTACATATTATCATACCTATTTATGCCTATTTATAAAATATGTAAGTACTTTTAAATATACCCGCTGTTGAAAAGAAATGCAATGTAATTGCTTTCAAAGCGGAGATAGTAATATTTGTTGTTCATTTTTGTTTTTGGTTGTTTTAAAAATAATTATTGAAAGCTGTACCTTGAAGGACAGTCCTCTGTTAAAGTCTATAAAATGTCGGAATTGTTATTAAGATTGGTTGTATTAGTAGATATAACCCTACGTATTAGTCTATTACTGAATGAAATTGCTGGTAAGTTCTGTGTCAACAATAAGAACAGTCAAATGTGATGAGTATGAATTTAGTTAACTTGTCTTGATTATTTTCTCTTATTGTTAGATACGTGTTTCAAGATCATTCATTTTTATTTGACGTGCTTTGTTTTTTTTTGTGTCTAAATTTGTGGCAGTAAGTATGGATAAATTTATAAACTTATACAAGTTACTTTATGCAGTTAATAGAAGGCAGATTTNAATTGTATACAATTCCTAGGAAATGTATTCAATTCCGAGGCTATTTAGGAAATCTATAAAATATTGTTTCAAAGATTTTTTAATATACACATATCCAAATGTACACATTTCCTAGGAATTGTATGAAATTCTAGGAAATTACTAGAAACTGTTTAAAACTAATGTTTTCTGTGAATAAAATTAATAAAACACTTTAGTAAACTGAGAATTAGATTTATCTGTGAATTGATCGGATAACGCAATACCCTCCCCTCGCTTTGCTAACCCCGCGTACCCATTGACATCTTGAATGTAATACATTTCCGATTGCTATTTAAGAAATGTATAGATTTCCTAGGAAATGTGTCTAATATAAGTTATTTCACACATTTCCGGGCGATTTTAGGAAAATACAATAAAATGTGTGCTGAATGTAAACTTTTGTACTTTTTTTAATGAAACCCAGATTTAAATATCGGTTTTCAGATAATTTGTGTTTTGGGCACTATTGTGGCTCATGTTGGGGCGGGCCATGGGGATATCACTCCTTCGTTGGTCCCAGCTCCAATTTTGCATTCCGTACCCCTAGCAATATCACCCTCGATTCACCTAACTCCACACGATGACCTCGTTGCATTGCCACTGACTTTCGACTGGAATAAATGGAAGCACAAGGACGAAAGTGAACACTATTGGGACAGGGATGGAGTTAGAGATGGAGATACGGACAGACACAGGGATAGGGATAGAGATGGGGACAGTGATAGGGATCGGGACAAAGATAAAGATAGAGATTGGAGTTGGATAGGAAATAGCGACTGGAAATGGAAGGGTGACAAGGTCGGAGATAGAGATAGAGATAGGGACAATGATGGGGATCGAGACAAATATAAAGATAAAGATTTGAGTTGGATGGGAAATAGAGATTGGGATTCGGGAGGAGACAAAGATAGAAATAGGGACAGAGATGAGGACAGAAATAAAGACACTGTCAGAGTTTGGAACTGGGGAGACGACAAAGGACACAGAGATAGGGACAAAGGACATAAAAAGTTTAATTTATTTAAGAAACTTTTTAAATGGTAAGTGTTAGTGGATAAAACTTGGAAATATAAATAAAATACGTATTATGTATAAATAATTTATTTTTTATATTTTTAGTTAAACTGCCGTGTGATTTTGAAAGCAGTGTGTAATTATAAACCAAACGATTTACTAGAACAACTGAACGAGTAGTTAGTGGTGTAGTTTTACTAAATGTACCTACCCAAATGTTCATTAATAAAAAAAAATTGTACAGTAAATAATGTTTAAATTAGCTTTTGAGAATGTTAAAGTTAACTTGTTAAAATGTGACGTGTAATAAATAAATATTTCGAAAAATATTTGTTTTGTTTAAATGATTGAATGTGCCCGAATAAAAATTACAAAAAACATTCCTGCGAACAGTAGGATACTAACCAATTTTAATGTTTAAAAAAACGTTAAATTTCTTGAAATTATTTTACTTCTGTGACCTATAAATTACAAAATGAAATTAATGGAAGAAATCGTCTATTGTATTATTGAAATGCAAGACACAAGCGCTCTCTAGTTCAATGAAGAAACATTGCAAATTTATGTACGTTTTTCTTACTAGGTATTCTTACCGTTTTATTCTATGTTGTAGAATGTCTTTTCGTCATACATAGATAATGAATGAAGTATGACGACATATTCATTAAGTAAATAACTCGTACTTTTAACTGAATTTGGATAAATCGGAATCATTGAATTTATATTCTTTCTCAATTTTGTAATTATTATTCTAAAAATATTAATAAGCATAGATAAAAAGTATTTTCCAGTGAACGTAAAAAAAAACGAAAATTTCCTTTGTTATTTGTTATGAGTTTGAGTTTGCATTGAGTATAAGTTCATAATATCATCTTATTGTAATTATTTTAAACTAGAACAATAAATAAATATGAATAAATTTCTCGTAAGCTTCGGTAAAACTATAAAACAGGATAAGTTTCTGGTAGTGTCGTTGTGTCCTCTACCCATAAGGGCAGTGGTAAATTCGGCCTGTCATTACATTACAATACAATTGCCAGAATTAAATTAAATAATTACGAGATCACCAACCCTTACCGTGAGTGGTTGTTATCTATTATACATTCATATTATAAGAGAGTATCTAGCAACATTCTAGCTTTACAATAGTTAAACTGCACTGCGTGATGATTAGAAGCAAAATTGAAGAAATTATGTTTATATTTTTGACAAAATCGATTAGTATACAAACATGTTTTTGCTTTTGAAGGTTTGAGAAAAAAAATTCCTTGAAAAACCAAGCATAGCACGGTATGTGCTTAAAAAGAAAAATACAACGACTTACATCGATCAACAGCTTTTTGCAAAAAAAAATAATAACCGCGGAATACTAAGGCTATGTGGAAGCGTGGTACAACCGCAGTGAAGGACATTATGACCTCACAACGTTCCCTGACGGTGCCATCAATGTTCTCATCCAAAGAGGAAAATCAGTCCCAGATCATGGCAAAAAACTTTGAATGTCGAGCACTACTGAGATATTTACAATCAACTTCATTTTAGTTTGTAACCATTTTTCTCAAAAACTAATTAAGTTATTGAAGAATGGAAAACATTAATCGAATTTCCCTCAAAGAGGTCTACTCAACAATGTGGAACGCATCATATCATCATACTTCACTATTTAAAAACATTGAGTTCGAAGTGGTCTTATGTTCAAACGGCTATAGTACCTACGTAATAAAAATATAAAGTTGACTAGGTAGTCTGATGATTTTAATGAAGAACCACTGAATAAGTACTAATTAACTGAGTTCCATTTTACATTATGTACTTAGCATGTAATTGTATATTTTGATTTTTAACTGATTGTGAGTTTATAAAAATGTACCTGCCGGAAAAGTACCTACCGCAATTAGAAAAAGGTTTTACATTATGATACCGCATACATAAATTGCGTAATTTCATTTGCGGGTCAGTAACCACCCCATTGAAAAAATGTAAGAAAAACAAGGGAATGGCCTATCGGATGATGAAATAGTAGTTAAAAAAATAACAGGAAATTGTAAATATAATAACACACAAAGCCACAAAGCCACTCTTTGTTATTAACATACTTGTCAAGATCAAAAGTAGGCGGGGTAAATTATTACCTCAATTTCAGGTGCTATATAAATACGATAACATAATGTTCGTTTTGCGCTCGAAACCTTTTCAATTTTTAGAGTAGAAAAACAGAAACAGAACCGTCGACAACATGAAAGCTTTTGCGGTAAGTGCATGCGATATCATTATTATTCAGTAAGCGAAAGGGATAAAAAGTTATTTATTTATTATATATGAGTCAGTGTTTTAATTAATAATTATTGTTGTTTGGCCCACATTAATTAATCTATTTACTAGTGAGAGTAGAATCTTCTAAAATTTTTTTGGTATGTTTTATTTATACATTATCTCTTAAAGCTTTGAAATAATCAAACTTCTAAGTGAACGCAATCAAAAGATACGGCCGTTAATGCTGCATAGAACGAATTTCTTACAGTAAAAAAATATTTTTTTAATTGTACTATGTAGTTATACCTTTGGGGGACTAATTTTGGTGGAAAATTCAAACATACCTAGTCGGGAAACGCGGAAAAAATCTTTGAGAGTTGATTTTACCTTTTATAAGTATGAACGAAACTCTCGGTGCGCGGCTCAAATTTGGCCAGTCATTTTTCTTATGTTTGGTGAAATAAATTGGTCCACGTGATACGAGTTGTAATTATTTTTGGTACAGGTATATTCCCTAAACTTTTAACGACTTACCTATTCACAATTGTTATTTGAATGCGTAAAAATGTAAACTTTATACATAGTTACAATTTAATGCAATACAATACAAGGTGAATGAAATGACCGGTTGCGAAAAAAATACTTTAACCTTTAACGGAATTTGCGAAAATGTTGGCTAATAGGGTTAATGGAGACCGAAACTTCAAATAGTTTAAAAAGTTAGCTGTTTTGTTACATAATTTTACTGCAAAAGGAATCTAAATTCGGTATTCTTCGTAATGTTTATATATGTATATTGTAAATTTTATCTAAACAACTTAGCATATGCTACATTATTAAAATTTTGCATTACCCAATGATAAAAAAAATAATGGGAATAGTTTTTCGCGATTTGCTGTTTAGTATTGATATGAATAAGTGAATAACATGTATTCTTTATTGAAATTAAAACCGTCTATAAAGTTATGTATCCCTACTTGTACAGCTGCGTGCATTGTAGCATAAATATGAAAATTATTTAAAATAATACAATTTTTAACTAATGACTTTATTATGTATGTTTTTGATGTACATGCTGCTCACAGCAAATTGAAGAGATGTTATTATGCAACTTCATATTTTTTCCCGTACTATAAATTAACAGGACTAAGTTTAGCAATTTAAGTGGTGAAATTTTTCTTATATATTTTTTTATTTAAAATATAAGTTATGCTATAATATACACATTTGTATAAATTTGTAGCCTTGAAGAAACTTTAATACTTTAATCGAAACGTCGGTCAGTCGATAGATTTAGTCCAGATATTATTATGCTTTACTAAACTTTTGAACTTCTTGTGCTACAATAAACAATTACTACACGTATAATTCATTTATTGTCCATTTAAAATGGATTTTAAATAATAGAAAAATAGTTGATAATGATCTACAAAAATGTATAAATACTAAACAAGAATTTTCGATGAAAATATTTCTTTCAAAGAAGTTAGGTACTTAATCTATTTGAATGTCTTTAAGGGATTTTATTTACATCTTTATGTGATTAAAATAGATTATAACTACTTAGATTCAACATTCAAATTGCAAGTATTTTACGCAAAAATAATGCGTTTTACTGAAAGCTCAATTTAATAATAATAATTATTATTATTGTTGTACAGCAACGTATTTTATGTATAGATTTTTACACATATGTGTTTACTTTAATGTAATATTAAAGGCAAATTAGTATAATTTGGAATAACTTGGTCGACAATTTATTTAACAATTTCACGTCAGCTAATGGATAAAAATAATTTATTTATTCAAACANATAATATAATAATAATAACATAATTAAGAAACTTAGAAAATGGCAGGAAACTATCACAGGGTGGATGAAGACGGCAAGCCGCCTCATCACCCTGCATTATCTCTTTCTTCGTGATCTTGTAGTCGATTCCCCTGATTATTATTGATTCCGCTATTCAAACTGTCGCTAATTGACCTACTAACGCAGTTTTAAGTAAATAATTTAGAAGTACTAACTTTATATCAGATTTAACTAAGAATTTATGGATACTATGTAACATTATATCTTTATAATTGTTTTTTAATATACTTTCCTGTTTCTATTTGTTCTAACTTGTTTATATACTTACCTTAAATTTAAAATTTATCGTTTTTGTTATTACCGGAAAACTCCCTATTTACAGTGACTTCTCATACACAATTTTGTTTTAGATGATGGCTGTGTTTTTGGCAGTTGTAACCTTCAGCGAATGTAGCCTTCTTGCTGCACCTTTGCCACTGGTTCGTCCTGGAATCCCAACTGCTATTGCTGTTCCTGGAGTAGCTACTGCTGCTGCTTCAACCGGAAGGGCTGCTCTTGTCAGACCTGGAATTTCTATCATTTCACCTTCCGCATCTATTGTCGAATCCAGACCAATTGTTAATCTTGTACCTGCAATTATTTAAACAACATTATTCGTCCAAAACTTATAATTATTCATAAATTTATTCCATTACAATTTAAACTGTATGCTATTGTGTATGTTTTTTTTTGGCTATTTTTGCAATAAAATGTAGAAGCTGACCATTCACTTGTATTAATTGGGAAAATTTTATATATCCTAATAATAGCATGAACACATTAGGAGGGTTATTATGATAACAGTTTAGTTTACATTTTCAGTAGTGATAAGTTGGATTTATGAGTTAAACTATTTGAAACAACTTTTCTTTTCTCGGAACAGAGCAGTTTATATTTGAATTTTTTAGTTGCTTTACTAGATTATAACACTAAATTAAAAAAAAAAATTGAAACTTCACCACTGTTTGAAAAAGAGGATCGACAAGAACGTCCTCAGAGTAAGTGTCCTTTGTCCCTAGGTCTGGATAAAACATGGTTGAAATATAGAGGCAAAATATTTTTTTTCGGTATTTTTGCTTCTTTCAAGTATCTTGTACTGTTTTTCGCCAAAAGGTCAATTTATGCATTGGAGAAAGAGTAATCTCTCTAATTATCATAACTCTCACAACTATCGACACTATTTTCTTTAAAAGTCATAAAACGCTCGCATATATGATAGAAAGTACAGCATTTAAGACAATTATTGCACATAGAAGAATTATTAAAATAAACATAAGTGTCTCATTAAATGAGCAAGACCAAGAATTAACATTCAAGACCAAAACCAAGACCAGGACTAGAAATATTTGAGCAAGTCCAAGATCAAGACCTAATAGACAAGACAGTCTTGCTTTTGGTTTTACTTTGTTCATCACTAAGTTTCAGTTTAGTTGTTTAGATTTAGTAAACAGTAAGTTAAATTACTTATTTTATTATTTTTAATGAAGAAAATACTATTATATATCACAATTTAATAATAACTTGCAAAACAGCTTTTTTTATTTACTTACAGTCTACATACTTATATGATATTTCAGTATAACAATAACATTTTTTCTTATACCACCCGGCGCGACGTGTGGATATGGTTCAGTAAATACAATTATATTTATCAGTCACTTACATATTATATGAGGCGGCCAGTAGGTATGGCATCAAGTTTTTCAATGTTCATTTATCAGTAGTTCTAAACATAAAAGGAAATAGGGATTTTCAGGAATGCGGTGTAAGAAACGCACCGTGCTGTTTGTAATAAATATGAAAGTAACGTTTTGCCGCCACACACAATTAACGCACATGTGTATTTTTATTAGAAGGGACACGTGAGTACATTTAAATATATTACAACTGAATTCCAATAAGAAATTTCCGTATTGTGCCCACATTTTATACATGCGGTTACCGTTGCGGCATTGCCCGCAGTACATTACAGTTCACAACTAAGAAACTATGATTTTAAGGAAAAATCCGAGAATATATACGTTATTTTTTGAATTTCGATATCTTTTGGATCAATTCGGTTCGCAGGGTATGGTATAATGCGTAAGAAAAAAAATTTCCAATGCGATTTTCGCAAAATCCCCTTTATTGTTAATGTATTGCATGTAATATGTAGGTAATACTTGGTCCTCAACTAGTCGCTGGCGTACAAATATAAATAGAAGATCAATTTATGCAGGCACATATTAATAGGAAGCTTCATTTTTTCGGTGAAATTAAATGTTGCAAATTAATTCATTATATCTACCCCTCACATCATAAATTAGTTTGTTCTATTTTACAGAGAAAATTACAAAAGCTTACATTCAATATCAAGTTCACAGTCGTATTAATAAGACCAATTATTATTGTGGATAATGCCTAGTTCCCTCCCTAATACCTGTTTTTAATTAGGGTTAAAATTTTCGGTATGTCGAATTCCCTCCCAATTATACATCAATTGCCTCCCAACGGCGGCGGATGACCTTGTTTTACTAGACTTTTAAATTTGAAATTTATGTTAAAATACGAAGTGTTTCATCTAATTTTAAAAAATTGTTAACAAGACAAACTAAAACTAATAAATTTTTTGTAGATGATTCCATCAAAAAGTTAGACGCACACGAATTTCCAAACATTGAATTTATTAAGGTAGTGGGAAACCATTTTAAAATTAAATAAATAAACATTTCATAACTGATATGTGTTTTCTTTCTGAAATTATTTTATCTTTAATTTACTGAAGTACTGAAGTGCACTATAAATATATATTTATTTTCGATAAATAAAATCGGTAAGTAGTCGTTAACTTAATTATCGGAGCTGATATGAACGGGAGGGAACTCGGCTAGTACCCGGGAGGGAATTCGACTATCTATATTTTAACCAAAACTACCTGCGGGAGGGAATTTGGCATTACCGATTATTGTAAAACAAAATAATACTATGACCAAAAATGACTCAAATAGACCTTCTGTTTAAGTAGTTCTTGGGAAGATGTTTGTTCTTAGTTTTTTAATTTATTTTGCTAAAAATATGCGACAAATACAAATGTTTTCCTTATTTAAGACAAAAGGTTGTGATTTTCACTCTTTAGTCTTTCTAAGAAACGTAATTGACAATTCTTTTTTCATTTATTTTAGCTGAACCTGAACGAAATATTGTTTATAAATAAACTGTCAATCGTGATTATGTTGATGATTGTGTTCTTTACAAAACAAATTAATTTTAGCTGCCCTAGGCTAAAAATATGATGAGATATAATTAACTTTACATTAATTAGAAGGTACATCTGATTTTCGGCTGAAAGGAAAATGCTTTACTTTCTAAACTTGCAAGCAAGATTGTTAAATGTAATAATTTTTCTAAAAATATTCTCATCAATACAATATTTATAATTTTTTAAATTTTCTGTGAAATTCAATTAAACTTCAAGCTATTGTGTACCACTTCTATTTTTATTTACTTCTTAACGATGGTGACTTCTTCCATGAATAAGGGTTGGTGGTAATTGTTTGATACGCAAAAGAAGTATAATTCTGTTATTTAAATTTTGTTGTTGACCTTCTAGCATAATTTAATGAACATTTTATCAAAAATTAGTAAATAAAACACTTTTGCAAAAAAATATTAAAAAGTACGAAACACATTTTCAAAATTTGATTTAGTGCAGCTGTTAAAAATAAGCAGTAAAACAAAATAGCCGCTGCATAGTAAAAATCCAATTAGAAACGAATAATAGCTTTACCAATTTTTAAAACCGTCAGAAATCATTTTTTTTATTTCTCATTCTTTTATTTTTCTGCAAAACTAAATTTATCCGAAACTCCTTTAAAACAATTTTTGTGATATTGTTTTATTACTAAAACATTTGTTCATTAAAGGTAGTGTAACACAATATTTAAATGACACTTACAGTAATATTAATAACTGTAAATAATGATTTGCTTTTATTAAAATTATTAATTTAGCCAGTGTTAGCGATTATTTAATATAATTGTCATTACCCTGAGTTTTAGAAATTTGGAAACATAAATAATATTACCTACCGTGAATTTTTTAATACCTACTCAAATATAGTAAAAAATGTAAACAAATTTTATGTTATTTTAACTAATTATTACAAATGAAATGAATAAAAATGCAAATGCATGAATGTCAAGTCCTACTTTCCGAATTATATGTTCTATTTTTTAATAAAAAACTTCCGTTGTCAGTACAGTCGAAATATAAAAGATTGGCATGTATGTAAGTACAAATGGGAGGCAATCACTCGCATTTCTTCCTTATTTTGTTATCCTTTTTTGTTGTCACGGTGTCAAACACGGGAGTAAAAACATAAGTAGACAAAAGGTGAGGCTATAGAATGTCCAGCATGCCAGCAAATTGTAACGTAAATTGCTATTAAACTATTGAATATGTTATAATCTACATTTAATTGAAGGACAGTTAAACCTGTACATATATAAAGTGAGGGCTATTCTTGTTTATTACCGTTCAGTTGGTTCAAAGGAGACTTTTGGAAAACGCCACTGCCATGAGAGTCACAGTAAGACATATTTTTTTACTGTTTTTTTATCATATAAGAGAAAATATTTAGACAACTCATTTTTTAAACTATTACAAAATATAATCAACAATATTAAGACTAATTATTGATCTAGATACATAAATTTTTATTTTTTATTTAAAAATTCAGGAAAATTTCGAAACGTTGGTGCTATTCGAACTACAATTTAAAATGTCACCCTCTTTATAAATTACAAATTGTTTGTTATAATAAAAAATCAAAACAGAATTGGAACCACAAGAGTCAAAAAAATTTTTTCTTTTAAGTATTAATGTAATTTATAGAATTTTCCGGGAAAAACTACAAAAAAATAGAAAAATCAAAGAAAAATGTAAAAGGTACCTTTTCTTTTAGCTAGTCCTAACTATATCACTTTTTGCCATTTGTGCATGGGCAAGACCAAGCATCGATGATGGACAATGGAGAGGTGAAGGTGTTTTGGAAGGCCAATGGAAAGGAGAAGGTCTAGCAGAAAGCCAAGGTGGAAACGGAGGAGGTAATTTTGTTATTTTTTGTACACTCGTTTTCATCTTCTGATAATTTAATAGATATTTAATGTAACTTAAAATAAATTCACTTTAGCTTAAGTTAAGTTTAAGGGGGTAACAGTTTTATAAAAAAGAGAACTGTTTTGCTTTAAGGAAAATAGACTGATGATTAAGATGAGTATTATTAAAAAAAGAAAGAATACAACAATGATATTTCAGTACAAAGTTACGTTTTTTATAAAGAAGGTGTACGCCGGCATTGTTGTCGACTGTATACTGTGTGGAAATTTTTCTAAATTCTGTAACATTTGTGATACGACTACCACGCATATTAATTACTTTTTACCTGCAGGTAGTTATTATCTGAACAATATATTACTGAAGGTGGAGTAATTGCTAATGAACAGCATACAAAGTGACACTACCCAATTTGAAAGTTGATTTCCCTGGAGCTTTTTTATCAATGTTTTAATGAAATATGTAACTTTTGTTTGTTTGAGAATGAGCCAAGATTCTTAAAGACCTCTTTAATTTATTGGACACAAAATAACTCGTTAATGAATCATTCCACAGTAATTAAAATTTGTTTTTATAGTTTGTATCTTTTTTTATGCTACTCGGTATTATTACTCTATAGTTAATAACTGATTATTTTGTATGAAATATTAATATGAAAATTTATTTGTCGAATTTTGTTATTAACTACAAACTACCTCAGATTAATGAGGGAAAATTGTTGCTGTTGTCACACCCTCGCTGGGAATCGAACCCGGGAGACTTTGGCTTTACACACCAATGACCACTAAGCTACGAGAGATGACAACAGCAACAGTGTGCAGTAAAAAAAAATTCGACAAATGAATTTTCATATTAAAAACTAACCATTAAAAAATTAAAAGGAATACTCACCCCTAATTACCACAAATAATAATTATTTGTGGTAATTAGGGGTGAGTATTCCTTTTAATTTTTTAATTAATATTTACCACAGTCTCCTCCTTCTATTTTAAAAACTAACCACTTCTTAAAAAGTCAAAGTGATTATTTTGTTGTTAATTCTTATCAAAGGAGTTTGTGTTTCTACAACTTTTTTATTGTGAAACGATTTTTAGCGTGGAACCACTGGGATAATGGAGGTGAGGGTCAATGGAATCAGGGTAATGATTGGAACGGTGATGGTGAATGGAATGATGGGCAATGGGATAATGGCCACGATTGGAACGGTGGTGAATGGGATAACGGCCAATGGGACAATGGACAAGATTGGCACGGTGGTGGTGAATGGGACGGTGGCTGGTGAATAATATAATACCAAAATTTACTTATTTTCTTTCTAATCTTCTTTTGTTGTAAATAAAAATTTTAAAAATACTCCACTTTCTTATCTTTGCACATTACAATTTTAGCACAATTTTTATACACCCATTAATAAACTTGCACGAACTCACCTGTCCGTTTTTGATTGTTTCACTCACTAAAAATTTAATAAGCATAACCTTCCTTATTCGTCACTGTTATCACTGCTTGACAAGATACTATATTCTGAAAAGTGCGCTATTTTTCTATTCACTACATAATTATACACAACTTTTTAAGCACTTTAAACTGATTAAACTATTTTTTTTGATAAACACACGCAATTGTAAGGCAACGGTTTTTTTAATTAAAATATATAATCAACCTCCAGCTTTTCGCATTAAACTGAAAAGATTTCTTCAGGATAAGATTATAACGTTACAGTTCGTTTGTACGTGGTATTTTAATTATTTATTATTTTAAATTGTGTGGTAGTTTGTTTATACAAAAAACCTTTGTAATGATTATTTAAGGAATGAAATTAGATAAGGTATCAGCTAAGGATGAAAATTATATTATTTGTTAATGTTCCGAAACATCTACAAAAAATTGATTTCTGGACTTTATATATAATCTTACACTGAATAAACATTTTTACCTTAAGGCGAAACGTTGGCGATTGATTTTATATATTAATTATGGAAACATTCACCATACAACTGCTTGTTTTTAATTTAAGATTGATAATCTTGGGGAAGAAATTAGTAACTGCATTTAATATGTTTTTACTCGCAGTTTGCAACGATTGTGCAATGAAGTTAAACAAACGTTGGATCTTAAAGAAATATACATTAGTATTATCATTTAATTGATGAAAATAGGTGTATCAAAATATACGTACAACCCTTAAAGATTGTTTAAAAATTTTTGTTCTTGCATGTCTACGATACCACCAAATAGTTGGAAATGCGTTTTAAAATTCTTTATAGGCGCTTTTACTCACTAAGTATACAACCCATTATACTTATTACTTGTTTATTACACTTTATAATGCTATAAACTGTTCTCACAATCAGTATATGAATTATCAAAACTGTAATTGTACTACTTCTTTATATTATAGTATTGGTACTTTTCAATTTTTGATTAAATTTCAAATTTACCCTCATACATTTTGCTGCAAGTTTTCATACAACCTTTTTGCTTTTGTGATAAAATTTTGAGATATTTGATTATTTTTTTGCATTGTATCTAAAGCCTTTGGATTTAAATTGAACAGCAATGAGGCATTTAGTTTTTGTGATAATAAATATATGCATCAATATTTTGTTTTATAGAGATTTTCGAAGAAGTTGAGGAAGTAGGAGAAGAAATAGAAGATGCATTAGGGAATAGACGTGGAAGAATCGTTATCCAAGGACCTTTGGTTGGAAGACATGGTGTCATCCCTGGTCGTATTTTATTGTAATTAGTATATGTTATAGTTTTATATTATAAATATGGATAGAATTGTTGAAGTTGGTATTGTAACATGGAAACCTCTTCTACATTTAATGGATTAAAAGACGTTTTTCGTTTAAAAATATAAAAATGTTAGAAAATCATGCTTGGTTTATTTGGTTAGGCAATTTGGTATAATTTAACATGTAAAATTGAATTGTTATGCTACTGGGAATCAAAAACGTAAATAGTATTTTTTTGTCAGAATGACAAGTATTTAGTTGGAACTTGAGCGCTTATACACTTATAGTTCAACGTAATATTTTTTCTAATAAGACGACTTTTTGTTTTCATCCTGAAATCTCGTTATCGTTGCGATATTTTGATGTATAATTGCGATGTGAAAATGAAAAATTGCCTTATTACAAATCTAAAGAAACTTTGAGCCATTTGAAGTGGCAGCTCATGCAATAAAATTGCCAACAATAGATCGCCTTTGCTCAAGCCTAAGTACAACTACAATTTGTGACACCATTCAAATAAAACATGTTTTATATTTTGTTATGTATATGTGTTTACAAAGGTTAAAATAGTTTGAAAACTTTCAGAAGGATGTATTCAAATGAATTCCACTACTCTTTTTTATGGAAATATGAGAGATGCGCAGGCAGTACAACATTCTTGTCGAATTTCAGTTGCAAAGATAACTCAATAAGGGTTATTGTCTCTTAACATTGTCACTAAATAAAATTCTGGCCGTCCTTCTTATTTCTGCGTATGTTAGCTATTCGACAAAATTAACTTCTGGAAGTTTTATTACTTCAGCCGCCACATTAAATGACTCACAGTTTAGGTTAAAATAAAGGTAGAAGCCTGTTCAAAATTTGTTGATGTAAAATTCTCACAAACGAGACAGGTCAATTCTCTGAGCATAAGGGTTGGTCCTGGCTTTCACATATAAGCAGTAGCGTACATTTAAATCTTCGTAGTAATTGAAAGTTCGCTGGGTATTCGACAAAACACATTTTTAAACATTTAAACAGGTAAATAAATGCAACTCACAAGTGTATTAGAAAATCAGAAAATATTCTGTTAATTTTTTCGATTCTTGTATCCAGACCCTCTGTCGCGCTTTTTAATAATCGTTAAGAACAACTGCCTTTATTCTTATTATTTATTATTGATCTGTTACATACCGTTTGCAATAATTACATTTTGGTTTGTATTAATTAAAAATGTGTGTATGTTTTATCCAGTTCCCAGCGAACTTTTAATCACTACGAAGATTTAAATGTACGCCAGTGTATGTATGGGAAAGTACGGACAGATCCTTGGGTTTCGAGAATTGGCCTGTCTCGTTTCTGAGAATTTTACTTATCAACAAATTTTGAACAGGCTTTACTTACATGGTGGCCAATAACAAGGTATCTGCTAAATAGTTTGCTCTCTATGGAAAATTGAAGCGAAACAATATATTAACCACCTATGCAACAAACTAAAACTTTATTCTAGATATTTTAATATTTTGGTAATTAAAAACCAATTATTTCAAGCGATCTCCCTTTCTTGCTCGCAACCTTCTCACAGAGTTTTCAAAGATTCTTCTCCAGCATTTCATCTGGATATTATCCTTTAGGGCCAAGATCTTTGGGGGATTGTTAACATATACATTATCTTTGAGATAACCCACAAATAAAAACTTTTTGAAGTCCAGAGAGGGTACGGTGGTTATCTCACATCACCCTTTTCCGATACGATGCGGTTCGAAAAATGTTGCCTTAGGAGGTCGGCGGTGTGAGGTCTATGATGAAAAAAAAACTTTTGTGTGTTTAATCCCCACCAGTCAGCAATGCTGATGGGCGGGCAGTCCCTCCGGACTACATGGGAAGGTAGGGCGGAAGAACCTCTTCAGCCTCCTTTCAGGAATCGTGGGAATGGGTGGGTGGTGGTTCGGGTGAGAAAGATGAGACGGGCGAAATGAAGACAGAAGAGAATGAAAGATTATTTGTGGAGTATTACTGCTCCGACATTTGACTAAGTGATCCAAGGAAACTACAGAAAAAATCAAGACAGACGGACCCGGAATCGAACCGGCGCGGCGTCCTCCCGAATGCTAAGCGACGGTCTAAAACCTCTAGGTCTTGCCGCTAGGTTATGATGAAAGAGGTTTAGACCTGTTCTTAGAATTTACGAAATTTAGATCTCTAATTGAGTAGAACGCCTTCTAGTCGATATTTAGGAATGATTTGCAATACTCTCCGGAATTCATTCAATATTGACAATTTATTAACCACTACGAGTACTTTCTGTGTGTCTGGCATTCCAAATCATCCCCTTTTCTTCAAAACAAAGAACCGTTTTGGCAATCGTGCGCTTAGTTGGAGTCTTGCGAACGTGTTTTATATGCACGTTGGAGCAAAAATTACTGACCCGTTACAATCGAAAAATAAAGTGAATGAGCAACTGTATGTCTATTTATGCTTGAATTATCTGTATTAGCGACCATATTCAGAAATGGTAAGTTAGGTAAAGGTTCAGTAGAAGCTGAGATGTGAATCTTTGAAGTCGCCCATTTTTGACCTTTCTCGGATTTTTTGATTTTATTTTCTAATTTTGCACTTTTCTGTTCACCTGCCATTCCAACAAAACATTGTTATTTAGGTTTTTAATTCCCAGTAATGTAATAAATCCATTTCACTTGATTATAGTAATACAGATATCTTCTTTTGCTTCTTCTGCGCTTGCTTATAAGGTTTAGTAGATTTTTAAAATTTGAATAGGACAATATTAGAAAAACAAGGATTACAGGATTTTAGAATGGTTGTTTAAAAATTTTTGTTCTTGCATGTCTACGATACCACCAAATAGTTGGAAATGCGTTTTAAAATTCTTTATAGGCGCTTTTACTCACTAAGTATACAACCCATTATACTTATTACTTGTTTATTACACTTTATAATGCTATAAACTGTTCTCACAATCAGTATATGAATTATCAAAACTGTAATTGTACTACTTTTTTTATTTTTTATTTAAAAATTCAGGAAAATTTCGAAACGTTGGTGCTATTCGAACTACAATTTAAAATGTCACCCTCTTTATAAATTACAAATTGTTTGTTATAATAAAAAATCAAAACAGAATTGGAACCACAAGAGTCAAAAAAATTTTTTCTTTTAAGTATTAATGTAATTTATAGAATTTTCCGGGAAAAACTACAAAAAAATAGAAAAATCAAAGAAAAATGTAAAAGGTACCTTTTCTTTTAGCTAGTCCTAACTATATCACTTTTTGCCATTTGTGCATGGGCAAGACCAAGCATCGATGATGGACAATGGAGAGGTGAAGGTGTTTTGGAAGGCCAATGGAAAGGAGAAGGTCTAGCAGAAAGCCAAGGTGGAAACGGAGGAGGTAATTTTGTTATTTTTTGTACACTCGTTTTCATCTTCTGATAATTTAATAGATATTTAATGTAACTTAAAATAAATTCACTTTAGCTTANCAGTTGTTGAAAGTCAGAAGAATAGGATTTCATATTTAGATATATTACTTACTGGTGAATTTGTTTGTTTGGCCAAGAAATTTTTATTTATATGTATGAATATGGTTTAAAAGTAGCATTTTCTTTATTATGAAAAGAAGTAATAAAATTAAAATTAAAGAAGTAAAGAATTAATTTTAACTATAATGTAGCATGCATTTAAAAGCAGCAACCTCTTAAATAATTCAATAAAAAATGATAAAGGCATGACCTAGAACAGCTAAACATATAACTCTTGTACAACTTCATACAACATCGATTTTAATTTAATGGTAACTTTGCAATTCTACATACAGTTAATAATATGAGTAATTAATATTAATACTATTCGAATCTCTATAAACTGAAATATTTAATTACTGAACGTGTAGGTAGATTTTAGTAACTGTGCACTATTAACTCTCCTTCCCTATCCATTCCTTAGCTAATATTAAGAGTAGCTCATCTTCACCATAAGGCAATCAGTACTGGTTGGATACGCACCTTCACTTTTTCGTATCTTAAGCTAATCTCCGCAGTAGTAATCTAATTTAGGGCTACCTCTACACGTTTCTCTGTCTGATGCCCTTCCTTATATTTACTTCTCTACGTTGTAGCCCAGCTTTATAACTGCCTGTTGCTCTTTATACAATAGAGCTGGGATTGCAACGTAGAGAAGTAAATATTAGAAAGGCACTCAGACAGGGATGCACACTGTCAGCGCTACTTTTTAATCTATACATCGAAGACGTGATCATCATCATTAAAGACAGTACAACTGTTGGGATAGATGTACAGGAGTAAAAGATTAGGATGCTTAGATTTGAAGATGGTATAGCAGTATTAGCATCTAGCAAGGAGGAGTTAGAGATAGGTTTAAATAAAATGGAAGCGGTATTGACAAAACAGTATAGTATGAAAATAAATAAAAGTAAAACAAAAATACTGGTATGAAAGGCAAGAAAAAGTAGGGAAAGAGCGAATACAAAGATAGAAGACAACAAATTAGAAGAAGTGGCTAATTTTAGGTATCTAGGAAGTCAGATAAGTCAGGACAGAAGGAGTAATAGGGATATAAAGCAGAGGATAGTGCAGGGTCGTGTCGTCTTCAATAAAAAGAAGTCACTTTTCGCGAATGATTAATTTAGAAATTCGAAAAAGAATGTTAAAGGTGTTTTTTCTGGAACGCGGCGCTATACGGGTGAGAAACATGGGCAGTGGGCGCGGGAGAAAAGAAAAGGTTAAAAGCGTTCGAAATGTGGTACTACAGGCGAATGATGAGGATACCGTTGATAGAGAAAATTAGAAATGAAGAGGTATTAGAAAGAATAGGAGAACAGAGGACTCTATGGAAGTCAATAAGAAATAGGCGGGATAGGTTGGTAGGGCACCTTCTTAGGCATGAACGTCTAGTCAGAGATATATTAGAGGCAGAAACGGGAGTTAGGAGGGGTAGAGGTAGACCTAGATTAGATTACTGTTAAGAATATGGGTTGTTCTAGTTTTAAGGAAATGCGAAGATTTGCTCAGGATAGGAAAGAGTGGAGGTGTGTGTCCAACTAGTTTTAGGACTGACGACCTTATGATGATAATGATAAGCACAACATTTATTAAAAAAAAAGTTTTAATTTCGTTTTTGGTAAAATTGCAACCATTAAGTAATTAAATATTTTTTATATAATCCACAGTGTAAAGAACACTCATGGTATAAGCATCATTTATTACAATGGCTAAAGAGATGTTTTAATTAGAGTATAAGAATGGTTAACATACCCATACACATTCAATTTGGATCAATATATGGCGACAAAAAAATCATAACGTCCGAAAAGAATTTCAATCTACGATAAAATCGACATTAGTCACATCGATTTCACATAATCTGATATTAAAATGGCAATTAAAGTTCACTTATAAACCCATTCGATTGTTCCCACGAGGTGACAAAGGTGTAAACGACAACTTTTCATTTTTATTTAAAGAATGCTCTTATCTATCGGTTAATAGGCTGTTCTACATAGGCTGATGCAATAATTGTGATATTTGTGCATTTATATGGGTATATGCGAGCACGTATACACATGTTTTTTACTTTTACAGTTATGAGTTTGTATTCTATGTTTTTTACATTGGATAGAGAATTATTGCTAATAATATCATGATTATTTAATGTTACATTTTATTGCATCTTCAAAAAAGAAATTTTTAAGCCACTTAAGGAGTTATTCAATTGCGAAAAGAAAAAAGGATAATAAATTACGAATTATCGGGTGAATATAATTAATTATCGCATAAATGTAACGTTTCACCCACGATTATGAGCTTCCTCAGGGAAATAATACAGGTTAGCAATTGGTAATGAACACAGAATTATTGCTAATAATATCATAATTATTTAATATTACATTTTAAAGCATGTTAGAAAAAGAAATTTTTAAACCAATTAAGAAGTCATTCAATTATGAAAAGAAAAAAGGGTAAAAATTTACGAATTATTCTTGAACATATCGGGTGAATACAATTAATTATTACAAAACTCTTACGTTTCATTGACGATTATGAACTTCCTCAGATAATACAGATCAACAATAGGGAATGAACAATATAATTTCTTCTATTTCAAGCAATATGCACTTTTATTACCATTACGTTTATTTTGTCTTCAAAAAAATATATTGTAAATTGGATGGAACAAAATTTTTTTAAAAATTATATAAAACGTGACTTATATAATAGGAAATGGAATACTTTCTATAGAAAAGGATAAAACCTGTGATATGATTTGAGTTAATGTTGTGTAATATAAATACTACATTTATATACCTTTAATAAAGTTGCAGTATATCGAATATTGTAATATCGAAATAACAAGCGTTTTTAGGGTTCTGTGCCTCAATAGGAAAATAGGAACCCTTCTAGGATCACTTCGTTGCCCGCCTGTTACCTTTTTTCTTACGAACGCGTGGAGATAACAATTTAATAAATTGATATCAAATAATCAGGTCTTTGAAATCCCTTGGAGCTATGAAAAAATTCTCAGTCAATACAATAAAAGATACGGCCGTTTATGTCGTATATTTTAAGGCTCGTAAGAGAATCAAAACATCACAAAAAAAATTTTTTTAGTTTTGGTATTGTAGTTAGGTCTACTTTTTATGGACTCATTTTGGGGGACTTACGTGGTCCTTTTTTTTAAGTGTATGTGGTTATTTGTGTGCTATTAATGCAGAAACGATCCTTAAATAATATTGCCTGCCTGTATGTTTCTGTATACAGGCTAATCCTCGAAATTGATTTCGATGAGATAATACGAAGATACAGATAAAACTGGCCGTTTATAAATGATGATTATTGAAATTTATAAAATTATATATAAGTGTGTATAATAGTTTATAGTTAAAATCTGTAAAAGGTAACTAATGTAGAAATAATGATAAACGCATTTTTATGTTTAGAGAAAAGTGTAAGGATAACAACCATAGCCCACATGTTTGCAGGAACGTAATGCCATGTTACGAAAACAGAACGAATAAACAGGATTTTTTCTTTAATCCTGCAATTATGTGGGCAAAGACTAATTAAAATATGGATTGGTCGGAAAGGCTGCTTTATGGATCTGCATATGTACATAGGTGGTGGTGTTTACGTATCAACAGTTTTTAAAAAGTTGGTGTTAACGTAAAACATGAAGGCCGTCGAGTTACTATTTAAGTTGAATTTCAACTTGACTCTGTACTAGTTCAGTGCAAGAAATCATAACTGCTACAATGAACACCTTGGTAAGTAATTATGGGGTAAGAACTACCCCTGCTTCTCAAGATTATATAATTTCATAACTAGTACTTTAATTAATTGATTATTAAACTAAAAAACGATATTATTTCTATTTCGCAAATCTTTTTATGGTCAATATTGCTATTTTATTACTTTAGTCCTTTAATTCCTTTCAGGCTATTGCTGTCTTCGCCTGCTTGGCTGTTTTCGCCAGTGCAAAACCATCTGGCCTTCTTTTGGCTGAAGACGATGGCCAATGGAGAGGTGAAGGCCTACTGGAAAGCCAATATCGAGGTGAAGGACTTTTGGAATCTCAAGACTGGGCCCGCAAAGGATTAGTCGCTCCAGGTGTAATTGGTGCCCCAGGTGTTGTTGTCGGTCCAGGTCTCATTGGTGGACCAGGACTCATTGGTGCTCCAGGTCTCATTGGCGGTCCAGGTCTCATTGCTGGTCCAGGTCTCATTGGTGGTCCAGGTCTCATTGCTGGTCCAGGTCTTATCAAAGCTGCTGTGGCCCCAGGACTTATTGCCCCAGGTGTTGCTCCAGGTTTAATTGCTCCAGGTGTAGGACCAGTTGGTCTCGTACCAGCATCCGCCGGTGCTGTCATTTCGGGACCCTCTGGTATTGTTGGACCAGCAGGACCTTTGCTCAAGAAATGGTAAATCGACTGTCTGACTTAGGAAACAAATATCTTATTACCTCGATCAAGCATATAACGGAGTAGCTCCATTTGGTTAACATTTGTACCCGTTAATTGACTAATTAAACAAAATTAATGGTGCTGAATTCAAGTAGAGGCGCTTTAGACTGACTCTTCTCCGTTCATATGTAGCATAATGGTTTTTGCAATTGTATCTACTCGAAAAAAATGTACTATGGAGTATCTCCATGTTTATATTTTTGTAAATAAATGAAGCAATTTAATATAAAAGTTTCTCTTTCTTTTTTACAGTAATGTAGAAAAGTTCTTCCTTCAGATACTACTGATATTGATTCACTATAGAAAGGTTAGAAAGTTGCCTAGTTATATATGTAAAAAAATTACCAAAAAAAAAAGAATTTATTACTGTTGAGTACAATTAAAACCCGATACAGTTATTGGGGTTAGTTTAAATTTCGTCCAAAGTACACTAATAATCTTTTAGAGTTACGAAGAAGATCAAGGTGGTCAATATTTTCTCAAAACTGCCAGACGCAGATCGCGATTTCGATCTTGCTGGATCTCATCCGCGCGTCGCAGACAGTTTAGACATCACGCCGTTTGTAGTACTTCATAAAATACTGACTCTAGACAGCAGGTAGAGTTGACCTGTGGTATGTCAAAACTGTCTGCGACGTGCTGATGAGATCCAACAAGACCTAAAACGCAATCAGCGTCATGAACTTTTTTGTTCGACTTTGTTGAACATATTGAATTCTATTAAATCATCACGCCATTTGCAGTAGGTACATAAATTCCGTCTGATAGGTACATGTCTATACTAAAGGGTGCAGGAGAGCTTTGTCGTGGGACCAATGTTTATGTGGATGGTACATTTAAAAGCTGTCCCAAATATTTTTACCAAATATTTACTTTTCACGCATTGCAACAAGATTCATATGTACCTCTCGTATATTCCTTACTTCCTTACAAAACTTCGTAACTATATTAAATGCCTCAAAATGTGTCTTCATCTAACTAAATCAAGGATAAAAGGTCGTCCTTTTTATTTTGGCCAAACCTGGTATCAAAAAATTCAATCTATTGGTTTCCACTGAATATAGAACAAAATCAGAGGTAATATTTATTTAGTATTTTTCTCGACTTTCGCATCTTAAAAAATAATAAATATCTGAGAAGGCAGCTTTTCTTTCAGAAATTGGGTAGAGTTTTCTTGTTCGACTTGATATTGATTTAATTTTTTGTGTAATAGAAACTTTAAAATATTACTATAGGGTTTGCAATATTTTCAGGTTTCAATGTAATGAAAAGAAACGCGGGAGGCCAATCTAGCTTTACTGGTAACAATAGAGAAAACGATAGAAAAACTAAAAAAATTGTGCGTACATGGGATTTGTAGATTTAGAAAAAGCTTTTGACAATGTTAAATGGGACAAGATGTTAAATATACCTAAAAATGTAGGGATGAGTTACAGAGATAGAAAAGCGATACTTATAAAGTAAATATTATGGAGGGAGTTAGACAGGGATCCAGTCACTGCTACTTTTTAATCTATACATCGAAGACGTGATCAACATCATTAAAGACAGTACAACTATAGGGATAGATATACAGGGGCAAAAAATTGGTATGCTTAGATTTGCAGACGATACAGCAGTATTAGCATCTAGCAAAGAGGAGTTACAGATAGCTATAAAGGAAATGGAAGTGATATTGACAAAACAGTAATGTATGAAAATAAATAAAGTAAAACAAAAATACTGGTATGCAAGGGAAGAAAAAGTAGGGAAAAAAACGAATATAAAAATAGTAGACGAAAAATTAGAGGAAGTGGTTAATTTTAGGTATCTAGGAAGTCAGATAAGTCAGGACGGAAGGAGTAGTAGGGATATAAAGCAGAGGATAGCGCAGGATCGTGTCGCCTTTAATAAAAGGAAGTCATTTCTATGCTCGCGAACGGTTAATTTAGAAATTCGAAAAAGGTTGTTAAAGGTTTAAGTTTGGAGCGCTACGCTGTACGAGTGCGAAACATGAACAGTGGGTGCGGTGGAAAAGAAAAGGTTAAAAGCGTTCGAAATGTGGTTTTACAGGCGAATAATGAGGATGCCGCGGATAGAGAAGATTAGAAATGAAGAGGTATTAGAAAGAGTAGGAGAATAGAGGACTCTATGGAAGTCAATAAGAAATAGGCGAGATAGATTAGTAGGATACCTTCTCAGGCATGAAGGTCTAGTCAGAGACATATTGGATGCAGAAACGGGAGTTAGGAGGTGCAGATGTAGACCTAGATTATATTACTGTTCGCAAATAGTTAAGGATGTGGGTTGTTTTAGTTTTGCAGAAATGCGAAGGTTAGCTCAGGATAGGAAAGAGTGGAGGTGTGTGTCCAATAAGTCTTAGGACTGACGACCTTCTGATGAGGATGTCTGCGGCAGAATTCTCAGTAAATGTTGTATCACATGACGGTTTATAATTTGCAAGTTAATGATGTTAAAATATGACTTTAATTAATACGTGTTTGACGTTTTGGTCGTTTGTGAAAGACTAAGGAAGAATCTAGGATTCATGGTCCAATGCTTGACTTTCTTTTTGATAAATTTACTGCGATAGACCAATATCCTGACACACTTATTTATTTATTACAGTTACTATAGTTCGGAAATTGCATCTAGACAGATATATAGACACTATTGATATAGGATCTTTCTGTTATATTTATATAAACAAGACCTTGCACATATTTACAGTATTTAGTTGTATCCGTGCAGTACTAAAGAATGCGTTACACCCTGCATTATACGTTATTTATGATGCTTTCATACCCATTTACTCAATCTTGCAATCCTTGGACAAATTCTTTTTACCTATTAAACAACTTTATCTTACAATTAGAGTAAACGGTAGAAATTACTAATTGAAGTCAACAACAATGAAGAACAAAGTGTAAATAATGAATGAAGAATTGTTATAATGATTTTGCAAAAAAAAAACATAAGACAAAATATAAATAACTAGATCATGTTAAAGGTTTTTTCAACCTTTATTTAGGGTCTCGCTTTCTCTAAGCAGTTAATAAATAAATGACTTGACTAGTTGCTATACCAATATACTTGTATTAAAACAATTTTTTGAAATTTAGTTTAGTTTCTGTTTATACTCCTTAAAAATGATCGAAAAATAAATCCAAAAAGCTTAGAGCTTCTCCAAATACCTATATATCTTGAGTATTTTTCAAAACATAAGACAAAATATAAATAACTAGATTCTAGTATTGTATACAATTAAGGATTTTAACCCTTTTAATCTTAATCTCTACAAGTCGAATCAAAATTCATAAGTCGAAAATCCTATAACTCGAATTTTTTGGCATCTCCCTTGATGTTCGAGTTATAGAGGTTATACTGTCTATGAAAATGATCAGCATTATCACCTGTACAACATACTAAATTCAAGAACATATCGTGTTTGCTCCGGCGGCTGGGGCATTGGGGACATTCCAGTCTGTCATAAACCTCCCTAACCAAACAATGACGTCACCAATGGATATAGGTACATCTCTAAACTGCGTACCGTATTATTGTCCATTTAGTATTACCTATAATACATTTCCGATTGCTATTTAGGAAAGTAATATAATTTATTTCACACATTTCCGGGAGATTTTAGAAATTTCCTAGGAATTGTAAACAATGACGGATTTCATACATTTCCCGTAACATATATATTAGAGATGCACCGGATAGTGGTTTCCACCGGTCACCAGATAATCGGGTACTCGTCATTAGATCTGCTGATGACACATCGTCAACATCTAAGGTCGTCAGTCCTAAGGCTGCACTCTTTCCTATATCTTTAGCTAATCACATATTTTAAAATCCTTTAATACAAGTCAGACAGTGGGATAATCAAGTATTTAAGGATGTTTGGGAGGTATGTCAAAATGCTACGAGACAAATAAAAATTTGGAAGAACGTTCCTCATTCAATTCTAAAACTCCTATAAAAATTACAAATCGATTCACTAACTATTAAAAAGTTTTTTAAAATTATAAGGTTATTCAAATTCACTAAACGGTTATCGAGGATAAAATGAAAAATTAGCTGAAAATCTCGTTTTTTTCTTGATAATATAATGATAATATTTATAATTGTCTGAAATAAATGCAATTTTAAAGTTTTAATTATTATTTAAACATATTAAAAAGTTTTACGCTCATTATTAATAGAGATTGAAACTAAATATTTTTTTGTTTCGAAGTTGAAATCAAGGCATATTCACTGCCAAAAGTCAGTTAAAAATTTTCCATATTATTCGTTATTTCTTATTTTATTCAAAGTTTTTGGTCAAATTCCAAATTTTCTCTCAAATCGTATACTTTTTTTTTAGTATACCTAGATAGTATTTATTTACCTCATGATATGCTGCAAAACCTAATTAATCACGAATTTCTAATTTTATGTACTCTTGTCTCCGATTGTACCTCTCAAACATCCTTAAAGATTAAGTCCAATTTCACTCATTTTAGGTATCTTGGGTGTGGACCAATTTTACATTTTCATCTTGTATTTCGTGAAGCAATTGTTTAGTACGCAGTATGAGTCAAATCAACCAAAATACGCCCTCATTTGGCGTGACTGTAATAAATTAAATTATTCGAATTGAAAGTGAAACCATTTATTTTATGTGAATTAAATTGCGAAAGGCATTCGGCAATAAATTTCACATTCATTTTATAAAAAATACTCACCCACTGCTTCACCTATAAAAAAGTGTATAATTCGTTTGTATATTTATTTCTTAATCGGACATAGCATTATGATACTTTTTACTGGCAATACGTATACATTTGTTTTCACGATAATTTTCAATACATTGTAGATACCTCATGTACAAAAGAAAATAGTTTCCGAATGTCGTTAGACACTTAAAAGTAATGCAAAATTGTTTCAAATTTTTTTAGTATTGAAAATACTATTTGGAACGTATATACGGGATCTATATCATGAAAAAAAGACGTCCAGCGATGGATCTGAGGGTTGGTCGGGGACGACACGGTCGAGCGTTGCTAATAAGCCTGTTATTAGGTCACAAGTACTCGACTGGAAATTAGTTAGTGGATTGGATCCGATGCGGATCAGAATTGCTTGAAGATTGATCAGAAATAAATCAGGCTTTCTGATCCAGGTATGATGGAAAATCGTCACGCCATATTTGATGAACATAGGATCCGTTTCTAAAATTCATGACGGATCCGTTTCAAAGATCCATG